AATTGAGATGAAAAAAAAATGTGCAAAATGATGTAAAAATAAACTTTTTAATAAAATTAAAAAAAAAAAGTTGCCTGCACAGCTGTACACTGTTGGAAGTAATTAAAATACCCATCTTTGCACAACTTCATATAGACCAATGTTGAACAGACTTTCTTCCTTTTTATTGAAAATTGCAGAAAATGAAGAAGGGGCCAGGACACAAAACAAAGGGCAATTTTCCAGTGGATGTCTCTACAGGACTCATTGAGTAAGTAGAATGGTTCTCGGCACAGATCATTAAAATGGGCAGCCCTGGCCGGTCCTCACTCATAAAAAGCAACTTTGGTTCCTGAGGATATTGAATCCAAGCAAATAACTAAGTATAGGATGTTCTAAACACACCCACACACAATGCATTATGTTCTGCTAGGCCATAAAAATCACTGTCACATCATCAACTGTTCTCATCTTCTGTCTGTCCCAGACAAACTTTTTCCTTCTTGCATGCTGCCTTGGCTTGGCATGAGACAGACGCCGTCAAATTCCAAGAGAACTATCATCTAGACATATACCAGGAACAATTTTTAACAGAAAAGCCAACTGCTTCTTCAGAAAATAAAGAATTAGCCCTATGAGAACTATTTTTCTGCCAAGACATTTGATATATGTTGACAAGGCAATTTCTTTGTGGTCTCTTGAATTTCCTATTGCAGACTTCCACAATTCGAAGGAGGACTGAATGCAGGAAAACACACATGAGGCCACAATAAATAGTCTGTATACCTTTTTTTTTTTTTTAAATAAGTTTCCTTCCTGTGACATCTAATTTATTAAAGGCATATTATCAGGTCAGTTTCAAATTTTGACTTGTTGATTTTTTCAAGTGGTTAAATATTTACTTACAATGGAATTCACTTTTTTGATTTTGTCCAATGAATTTTTATCAATTTTTGTAGCAGCCACCACAAATGGAGCACAGGACAATTCCAGTACCCCCAAAGAATTCTCTTGTGCTTCTGTTTTGGAGGGAAGACCCTACCCAACATCTAGCCTCTGGCAAACATCCTAGCTGTGTTCTCTGCCCCTAAGTGTGGCCATTTCCAGAATATCACATAAAGGGACCCCTACCCTATCCAATCTTTTAAATTGAGAGCCCTAGTGTTAGGGCCAGCGTTTTCCATAGACAAGATATTGGCTGGAAACTGCATGCTTCACAATGAAATTCTCCTCATCAAATCTCTACCCTTCTCTACAGGTGTGTGAGTTCCTGTGGATAGAATAAGGCAACGAGACAGAAGCAAGATAGGGAAAAGCTTTAGTCAGCTCCTGGGCAGGCGAGGTCCGCAGGCTCCCAGAGAGGGTCTGGGAGTCGGGGGCAGTGCACCTGCTATAGGGGTCTTTTATATGCCCCATCCTGTTGGGCCTGGGAGGTCGTGGGAGAGTCATGCGGTCCTTTTGGTCAGCGGTCTTGTTTGTTCGGGGTCTTTGATCTTTATCAGGGTGGCTCTCTGGGGTAACATCCTGACGCCAGCTCAGCAGTATCTCTCTCATCTTGATACTGTCAGATAGTCTCCCTTTTGCCACTCTGGGGGCCTGGGTGAGGGGCTTGGGTGAGGGGACTGCGTGACCTTTCAAGGTGGAACTTGCCAGCAGTGCCATTGCACTGTATAAATTCCCCTCCCCTCCCTGGCACATAAATCCTCAAATAATTCCATATAAAGCAGGTAGCATGATAACCAGAACTTTTCTCCTCAGTTCCCAGGGCACAAAAGTTTTCTGGGAACTTTATTTGCAAACAGCTAGAAGGAGATGTGACTCCATGTAGCAAAGTAGAAGCATGCCAGAGTTCACCACAGTTGCTGGGCTTGAGGGTTCTGGGGGTGGTGGAGTCCACACCACTTCTGTATTCTTCATACAGAAGTAGGTGGGTATTAAGAAAAGCAGATGCAAGGACAAACCCTGTAAATTATGGCACAGCAGCATAGGTTTGATTTTTTAAAAATTCATTTGAACCACTAGACAAGAATTTTAGATCACAATATTCATTTTAGTCTGAAAATGTAACTCAATTTTGCCGCATATATGTGTTCACCCATTTCTTTGTGGCACTTTGCCAATCACCCCGGAGCTGAAACGGACTTACTCTATCTTATAAAAACTTAATTTGCTCTAAATAACAATTTGTCTTGAAAACTCAAAAGTTTGTTTTCAAATTAAGTTGATCTTCCTTAATTATGGTCCTTCAAAGCAACTTCTGAACTTGATGTTTGACTGGAGGCAACAGTCAGCAAGCAGGGAATAATAACCTTTAGAAATTAGCAACAGAGCAAGACAGCTGGGGAAGGCAGCGAAGAAAGACAGGATATTGTTAGACCCCTGAGCTTCTTCAAGAACCAAAGTGTTGTGAGCTCCTATTGGCAGTGATCTGGAGAAACTCTTCAACAGGGATTTCATTCAAGTCTTTAATGCACTATAAATAACCAGCTACAATGTCTCTTTTATTTTTTAGGGACATGGGTGGATTCCCAGGAGCGACCAGTTCATTTGCGCTGACCCTTCTCTCTCTCCCTGTAGTACCTTGGGAAGAATCAACTCACAACAGCCCATTATTTCGGACTTTTTCTGATTGAGTTGAGGTCCCTGAGATACAGCAATACTGAAATTAATAATCTTACAATGGCCTCTCAGTATTCAAGTCAGAGGAAGAATCACCCATCTCGCATTTCAAATCAAAAGCCAGAAATGATGAAACCTAGTGCTCGTTTATCATTCAGAAAACTGTAGGGCCTTAAGAATAATATGAAATCAACTCCACCTCTGCACTATAAATAGAATAACAAAGCCCGGATGACAGGACATCTGATTCAAACGTGGTTTACTGAATATTTAGAGCCACTGCTGGGAACTACTGCTCAGAAAAAGAGATTCCTTTCAAAAGATCACAGCTCACTTTCAATGCAACTTGTCACCCAAGAGCTTGGATGGAGATGTGCAAGGAGATTTATGTTGCTTTCATGCCTACGGGCATGATGGCAATTCCACAGTCCATGAAAGGAGTCATTTCAGATTTCAAATCTTTTTATTGATGAAATACGTTTCATAAGATGGTAGCTGCCATAGACAATGATTCTTCTGATCGAGCTGGACAAGGTCAATTGAAAACCTACTGAAAAGGAATTGCTACTCTAGATGCCACTAAAGACATTCATGACTCATAGGAAGAGGTCAAAATATAAATCTTAAGAGGAATCTAGAAGTTGATTCCAATCCTAAGGGACGACTTTGAGAGGTGAATGTCCTGAGTGGAGAAGGGCACAGCAAATGTGGTGGAAATGCAAGAAAACTAGAATTAGCAGTGGAGCCTGAAGATGTGACCCGATTGCTTCAATTTCACAATAAATCTTGAGATGATGAAGAGTTGCTTTGTAATAATGAGTGGCTTCATGGGCTAGAAACTACTCTTGGAAGAAATGTTATGAACATTGTTGAAATGACAACAAAGGATTTAGAATATGGCATGAACTTAGTTGATAAAGCAGCAGCAGGACTTAACAGCATTGACTTCAGTTTTCAAAGAAGTTCTAGTGTGGTTGAAATGCTATCAAACAGCAGCACATGCTATAGCAGAATCTCCTGTGAAAGGAAGAGATAAGCAATGCTGCAAACTTCATTGCACTCTCATGTGAAGAAATTGCCACAGATCCACCCACCTTCTGCCGTCATCACGCTGCCCAGTCTCAGCAACCAACACTGAGACAAGACCCTCCACCAGCATAAAGATTATGACTCAACAAAGGCTCAGATGATTGTTAGAACTTGTTAGCAATGAAGTGTCTTTTAATTAAGATAGGAACAGGTGTTTTTAGACATAACACTGTCAGACACTTAATAGACTACCATGTCATGTCAATAAAACTCTCATCTATGAAGGGCCCTCATCTTTCCCCTGTCCAGCATGGCACCCATCACTTTAAGATGAAACAAGAAGCTCCAGGAAACCATTTGACTATCTTCATTTTTTATTTACTTTTCCTTTCCTTATTATCACTTGAAATTTTCCAAGTCTACCAAACAGGTGAAAGAATGAGCTTTCACATACTCTATACCAGTTCACCAACTGCTAACATGTCACCATATTTGCCTTCTTTCTTCTCAATCAATAGAGAGAAAGATCAAATGCTGTGGTGTTTGTCTCTTAAGAACATCCTCCTACATAACCGTAAGGCCATAATCACACCTAAGCAAAATAACATTAGCTAATAATATTAGATGAGCAGTTCATATTCAAATTCTCCCCATTGTTCCGATATCATCATTTAAAGTTTGGTGGTCACATCTTGAGTTTCTTTTACTCACTAGTCACCCCTACTACACCCCCATGGCTTTTTTTTTTTTTTTAATGTTTTATTTATTTATTCATACAGAACTGGGGTACAGGACAGAGGCTCAGGGGCGGTGAGAGGCTTCACCAGAAACAGAGTGGGGAGCAGAACAGGCAGATCGACGAAGTACACTGCTGAGGGGAGCAGCGGGCGGGTCAGGAGAGGTCTGGCTCGCCATGTGGTCTCCTCCGGGGCAGGCGGCAGGCGGGAATCGAACTCATACGGAAGTGGCTTCAGATTCTCAGTGCTGTGCTTTAACCCGCTGCGCCACCAGGGAGGGCCCCCATGGCTTTTTAATTTTTTTAGGTAGACAAGTCAGTTGTCTTGCAGAATTCTATTGACCAGGTCAAAACCGATTTTGAGTTTTCCTTTCCTGCCTAAAGCCCTAAAATGGAAACACCATTATTGAAAAGTTAATGCTGGCGCCTAAAGTGCTTGTAGATCACCTTGCTAGGCCTGCCCAGGCTGAACTGCTTGAAAACTAGTCTCTATCCTCCTCCATCCTTCACACCCAAGTCTGTGATTTTCTTGCTTCTAGATTTGAATCATATAGTCCTCGCTACCTGAAATGTCTTTCCCTTGGTAAATCACTTGTGCTTTCTTTCTTTCTTTCTTTCTTTCTTTTTTTTTTTTAAAGATTTGTTTGTTTATACATACAGACCTGGGGTACAGGCCAGAGGTGTGAGGGTGAGAAGATTCACCAGAGACAGAGTGGGGAGTAGGAGACAGAGATGTGCTGAAATACACTTTGGAGGGGAGCAGCAGGTGGGTCAGGAAAGGTCTGCCACACCAGGTGGTCACCCCCCTGGCCAGGGATCAAACTTGTGTTGCAGTGGCTTTGATAACTTTATAGTGCGCCTCCACGGAGGGCCCAATCACTTTTACTTTCAAGACTCAATTCAGCTATCACCTCCTTCAGGAAGCCTTAGCTGATTTCACTATCTGGTCATTCATCTCTCCTCCTTCTCACTAGACCATGTGATGAGGAGGACCTGACCCAAAACCTTACCCACCTCTGCATACCTGTCCTGCTACACGCAGGAGCTCAATAAATGTGTGGAATGAGTGAATGAGTGACAGGAGAGAGGAAGAAAAGGAAAGAGACTCATTGTTCTGTTTTTCCAGCTCAGGAAGAAAGGAGCCAGTAGAACTTCACTAAGGAAGAAAAGCAGAGGGAGCCATGACTGGTCCCATTCCAGGGCTCAGAGCTGAGCAGGCCAGTGGTGCCAACAGCCTTCCTCTTATCAGAGCAACAAGGGGCCCACGGGGCCCCTCCTGCCCCTTTGTGAGCTTGCTTAGGTTGAGTGCTGGTGTGTAGTTTCCCTACAGTAATAAATAGTCAACCATTAGCATTTAAAAGCCAGTTGGCTCGTCTTCAAGATCACAAGAAAGATGGAGCTGGGGAGGTGTCTGGCAGCCAGTGCTGGAAAGGGCTTTCCCAGGCGAGGGCTGGATGGTGGCAGCTTCAAAGCAGGAAGGAAATAAGGCTGAGGTCTGAGGGCCTGTGACTAGGGGAAAAAGAGAGCTTAGGGAACAGGTCTGGACCTATGTTTAAAAATAGATCCCTGAAGACCTTGCACTAGGAGCTGTTTTACCAGATGCCAAAGGGTTTGGGCCCATGGCCAAATCTGGAAAGAATGTTTTACAATCTGGCAGGGGCTAAGGGGATTAGTGCTGCCTTGGAGAAAAAGGGAAAAGTGGGAAGGATTCTTCAGAAAAATAATCCAAAGGTCAGAGCCCTTAAGTTTTATTCTACACACCAACTCTCATCAGTAGAGGGTGGGGGTGAATTTCAGTATTACTTAGTTCAGAAGGAATCTAAAGCAATGGCCAGGCTGTGAGGGATCGATCCTGTCTGTATGGGGTCAGTAGGGAACACTAGGAAAGATACTGGGTATCAAAAGGGAAGGCTTAGAGAGGGCTTCTGGAGGGTCTTGTTGAATGACTTCAGTGTGACAGGGCAGGTACCACCTGCAAGGAAAATATGATCTCACTCATTCCATGGAGTCAAGTTTTAAATCCTGGTTCTGCCTCATTTCTCAGTTGTGTCGTCTTGGGCAATTTACAAAACCCCCTTCAATAACCTATCATCATAACAGGTAACACTGAGAATTGCTTTGTCCAACGTATTGTTCTTAGATCTCTATGCCCATCAGCTTATTTGAGTCTCAGAACAACCCTGTAAGTTTATTACACCCTTGAGGAAACTGTTGATGAAGAAACCAAAGTTCACAGAGGCCAAGAGAGCTCCCAAGGGTAACGCAGCGAAAAGGTTCACACCCAGGTCGTCTACATTCTTAACCTCCTTCATAGCTGTTACAGCCAACTGCTTCCCATGGATGATGGTTATCAGCATATGCCAGGTGTCTGGTGGCTGCTTGATGATTTGATTTAATTCCAGAGATCCTGAAGTTCACACATGCATAAGGCACAGTGAATAGAGACCTTCATCTCAAGCTGCGAAGTCACAAACAGAACAAGAGCATGGATTTCCCCCGATGAAATAAGAGCAAAATCAGGAACTAGAAGTTTTGTCTCTGGCAAAACACTTCTGTCCTTTTTACTTTTGCAATATCGTGAAATGTTTATCACAGTTCCACTAAAGCACACAGGAGACAGAGAATATTCTGCTTGGTCATGCGCTCGGACCAACAATCTTTCACCAAAAAGCTCAACTGACTATGATTCCAGTGACAGATTCTGCTTGTAAATAGTTACAGGGCTTATTCTTTGGTGATCTGTCCACAGCTGGTTTCACGTTACAAGTTGGAGTTGGGTGGCGCACAGGACCATCTAGCCTGCAAAGTCCACATCTGGCCCTTGGCAGAAATGGTTCCTGATCCCTGCTGGCCATCAGAAGTGGTCCAGCTTGCATCCTTCACTAGGGAAGGAAGATGCTCCCTGGTTGTTCACCAGGGAAGGTACGAAGGTGGATGTCCATAAGAGGAACTGAAATAAAACCGGATGTGGCCAGGAGAGGATATTGCAGAGTGTTCGCTGAGAAATGTTAGTCAACCCTATGATAAAATGGTCCTTGGGTCAATGCAGAGCCATGGGGTGGCGCAGCCCAAAGCCCATTATACCTGGAAGTTTCAGAGAGGGTGAGATGCATTCACAGAATGTATTTTCCCCCTGAGATTATCTTCCTCTGAAAATTCTTTTGAAAATACTGAAATAAAAAAAAAATATTTAGAATTGTGATGCCTTGGAACTAGAACTATAAGCCTTGAAGGTTGGTGGTTAATAAACATGTCTTTGTCTCAGCAAAAAAAAAAAAAAAAAATGGAGAACAAGGAAGGCCAAAAGAGAGCCAGGAAAAGGGGAGTGGGGAGTGTTTGAAGCAAGAAAGGCAGAAGTTTCACAAGGGTACTCTGGGAGGAACTCTGGGAAGAGGAGACCAGCAGAGTGGACAGGGTGACCAAAGCAGGGTGGCTCCCCAGGGCAGGTCATGGGGTCGCTTTCAGCATTACCATTGCCAATATCAGCAACCCCAGCAAAACCAGCCTTCCCTGGGGCCTCAGCTCTGAAGTCCTGCATTCTGTCCTTTAGACATTTTATGTCACTTGATTGTCATTTTACAGTTGAGGAAACAGGGCGCCCGGCAAGTTAAGGAACTCAGCCAGAGGCACAGACAAGTAACTTTGTGAGAGTCAAAGCCTGTCAAGCTATCAGTGCAATGCATAGTTTCACCCTGGGTTCTGTCGAGTGCTGTGTTCTCACCACCACACTCCATGCATTTGATGAAGACTGGGATTCCATCAAGTTACACAAAAAGAACTGAACAGAAATACAGCTAGACATTTGCAGAGGACAAAACAAGCCAAGGAGTCAGAGTGTCACCTAGAAGAAATATTTGATTGCCTAGGGCCAGATTCTTTTTTTTTCACAGCACAACCAGAGGTTGAGATACCAACCCATTCTCTTTCTCTCTCTTGTGTTAATTATTCCTCTTATGTTAGAAGTTAAAGATCGGCGTTATGAAACTTATCCAATGATAAGCACGGCAATAGCCTGTGCTCATGAAGTAAATACAACAAGCCATTTCTGAAAATGGAAAAAGCATTTTCAACCTGAACACCATGACAACTGCATTTATAGTAAGTCTCGTTTAGATTTTCACAACTTCCAGCTCTTTCGTTCTTTCTTTCTTTTTTGGAGGGGGAACTCAGAACAGCTTCCTAAGGACAGATTCCAAACACGTGAATCACAGTTCAGTTAAGCCTCTCCTGGCACAGAAATACACATGCATTAATTGTTAGCATTTATCTGTGTCCTAACTAACCACTGATTTCCATGCTTAAAATATGATATAAATAGTAAACCCTACTGGATGCAGAAATCTGGATAAGCAGCCCAGGATGTTACAAACTTAAACACTAAATGTCCTGAATTTGCAGAGCTGTTCCCCTGCCACCCTCCTCCCCCAATCTCCACCCCCCAGCAAAATTCCTTTGGCAGGCTCTAAGCATGAACTGGGGGGCTCCTGAAGTTTGTGTGAACAGTTCTTATTTACTTTCTTGAGCCTATAGCAAAAAAAAAATGACTATTGCAGGCGGGCCAGCGTAAAATGGGACAGCTGCCCAGCAGCTTGTAAATGTCTATTTACCTGGTGAATGGTGAGGGCAGGGCTTAGGGCTCCGAGGTCCAGAGGAGCTGCAGGGCAGGGCATTCAAATTGTGGCTGGACCTTTCATGCTGCTTCGGTTGCTTCTAAGACTCCACTGGAAATCCCAAAGGGCTAGAGAGCCCCGCCAATATTACATTTCCCGGAGAGCAGAGAGCGGTCCTCCCCGC